TTATGACCCTCTACTGCGAGTTTTCAAAATCTACACTGTTAGAAAGATGCAGCTGAAAGAAAATAAACCTTTAAGGACGGATGTGTGCAATTACCTCATTGTTAAAGCATTTGCTTTGCCCTCGAAAATAAACATTTTAAGCAACGGATATAAGTGGCTTCCTTTGAGGCAAAACTTGAATATAAACACTCTAACACTGAGTATCATTCAAAAATGAATATATTTCCCAAAATAAGAAAGGAATCCAAATAAGAAATCGTTTGCGTATTTTGATTGCGGCGCTGCTTGGTGAGCGTCACTGACGGACAACGCTGAAATTAACGATTGCACTTTGTAGTTCGCTATGAATCAAACCGCGTTAGCAACTTAGTCTCAATGCCCAGAGTGTCCGATTGAAAAAAATGTTCTACTGAACTGCATTAAAATTAAAATCTACCCTTACACATCAGGAACTTGTTTGTTGGTGTTATCATGTGGCAAGATATGGAGGGAAGCCGTGACCATATCAACATAATCACAGATCAATACGAAAAGTGAACGTTAAGAGTTGTACTCTTGTGGAGAAAATAACGAGGAATTTTGACCAGCTGTTACAGACTGAGATGTCCAACCTACTTCCACGCTACCTCCGGGTCATGTCTACGGTGTTGTGTTAAATACAAGGCCTGATCGGGGCTTCTTTTTCTAAAAAGGTCTTGTTAAAGTTAATAGACCCTTTAAAAACAAACCTACTGCAACTGGTACAGCATTTCAGCGAAAGTCTGGCTTCTGCCTGCACAGTAGCCCTCAGTTTGACCGTTGACAGGTGTCAGCGCCGCCGCCATTAGCGGGGCAGCGTTTCCAGGGAAACGGGCAAAGCCTGACCAACCGTTCCCAGGGCCAAAGATTACTGACACTGTTAATATACAACACCCCCACCCCCATGCCCGTCATTCTCGGACTGCATTATTTATTTACTCAGCCGCCCACAAGTATTTCGCATCGAAGTCCAGGTGTTTGTTGCAGAATGAACTTTTTGAAATGTAAATGTCAACATACCCAGCCGGCGCTCGAGCGACTGTCGCCATTGTCGCCGTCTCCCTGGCTCCGATCTCGTACTGTTTTTTTATCATGTCGTCCACATCCAACCTCGCTCTGGGTTACCACCAAGCTCCTTTCACGAAAGTACGATGGAACCAATTAATCAGAAAGCACTTTGTCTTTCCCCCCAGTCCCAAACTTTATCGGAGTATCTGCGCGCGGAAAATGCACTTGATCGTGTGCTCGCAACTAACAGTTCCAAAAGTCCAGGTCACAAATTTGACCGGCTCTTCTTTCTAATTCACGTACATACACGCACGACAACTGTCTGCAAAATTAGACCAGTGAATAAGCAGTAAACTATGTGCAATCACCGCACATCAGTCACTGCCCAGATCCTACTCCAAATAGAGGCACTTACACTGGCAACAATTTCACACAGCAGCTCTTCTCGCGTTCTCTCTCCTTTCATTCGCTCCCTCGACTCCCTTCTTGATTAATTAATGAAAATAAAGCAACCTTATTTTTGAATGCGCCCTTCTCTCTCTGCTACTGTCTCCAAACCCCTGCATGAAATTAACCACCTTCCTCGGGATCTCCTGTCAATCACCGCTTTGTCCAATCCAGGCTGATGTCGAATGCGATCGAAGTTGTGCTGTACAAAAGTACTTTGCAGTTATATTCAGATTGCTTTCTTCTAATCATGGTTTGATTGGACTACATTGACTGCAGTGTTTTGGCATGTTTTAAAAGTCTTTTTTTCTGATCCCATGCAAAGTATATCTCCGATCAAATAAACCTAAGATGTCTTTAATTACACCATAAACGTGCTGCTTAATTCTTTTTAATTTATTTTTAAAACTTCAGGATTGCCTATATTCATATGTGGATATCGTTATTAGACAACGTTATTAACAAATTAACACATACGAGGCACAAGTTACAGTAGCCACGGTTAAGAGCTACACGAGACTTCAACGCAGCCGAGACACCAGGAAACTCGTAAAGACAAAATCTATTCTCTACGAACTCTTGCAGCTTCACAACCCCGGATATCTTATGTTCCTCTGATTCAGATCATAGAAGCAACACAAATTTCAAATACACAACTTCTCATAGCGAGGTGTCTTCAGTTGCTTCCAACCGAAGCTCTGGAGTAACTCCCTACACTTCTCAACTTTGCTTTCCGTTTTGACTCACCATTAAAACCTTTATGCTTTTGTGACGAGTTAGGAAGTAATTATGTGGATGTACATCAAATGCTGTTTCAATGTAACAAACACAAAGAGACTCAGCAAGTCTGGCAGTATCTGAGAAGACAGAAATACTCAACGTTTGGACTTGTGACTTCTTAGAACGGATTTAAGTTTGTGTATGTACTTTTGAAAGAGGCAGAGGAGGAACAAGAGGGCAGATAGTGTACAAAACCAGAAGATATTGGAGCAAAATTAGGCCATTTGGCCCATCAAGTCTGTTCCATCACTGATCTGTTTCACAACCGCACCCTCCTGCCCTCTCCTCTTAAACCTTGATCCCCTTACCAATCAAAATCTATCTGCCTCCATCTTAAATATACTCAATGACTGGTCCTCCACACCCACTTTGGCAATGAGTTCCACATGTTAACCAGCTTCTGGCTGAAGAAATTTTGCCTCATCTCCATTCTAAAAGGTCACTGCTTTGCTTTGAGACTGTGCCCTTGGATCTTGGTCCCTCCTACTTGTGGAAACATCTTTTCCATGCCACTCTATCCAAATCTCTCAGTAGTCTGTAAATTTCAATCAAATCCACCTTCATCTTTCTAAACTCCATTGAATACAGACCCAGTGTCCTCAAACGCTCCTTATGACAAGTTCTTCATCCCTGTGATCATTTTTGTAACCTTCTCTGGACCCCTCCAAGGCCAGCCCATCCTTCCTTAGGTACACGGCCCAAAACTGCTCACAATATTTCAAATGCTGTCTCACCACAGACTTATACAACCTCAGCAGTACATCTCTATTCTTGTATTCTAGCTGTCTTGAAATGACTGCTAACATTGCATTCGCCTTCCCAACTGGCAACTGAAACTGCAAGTTAACCCTAAGAGAATCCTGAATTAGGGCTCCCAAATCCCTTTGTGCTTCAGGTTTCCAAAATCTTTCTCCATTTAAAAAGTAGTCAATGCATCTATTCTTGCCACCAAATTGCATAACCTTACATTTTCCCACATTGTATTCCTTCTGCTACTTTTTTCCCCACTTTCCCAGCCTGTCCAAATCCTTCTCCAGCCTCCCCGCTTCCTCAACACGACCTGGCCCTCCACCTATCTTTGTATCATCTGCATATGTAGCAATAATGTCCTCAGTTCCTTTGACCAGATCGTTAATGTACAACATGAGTAGTTGTGGTCCCAATACTGACCCCACGGAACTCCACTCGTCACCAGCTGCCATCCTGAAAAAGACCCCTTTATCCCTACTCTCTGTTTCTGCCAGTCAGCTAATCCTCTATCCATGCCTTGCTTCTAACACCATGGGCTCTTATCTTACTTAGCAGCCTCCTGTGCGGCACCTTGTCAAAGACCTTCTGAAAATCCAAATAGATCATGTCCTCCCGTTCTACTTTGTCTAACTTGCTGTTACCTCCTCAAAGAATTCAAACAGATTTGTCAGGCATGATCTCCTCTTGACGAAGCCGTGTTGAATCAGCCCTATCTTATCATGCACTTCCAAGAACTCCGCAATCTCATCCTTAATAATGTAAAATCTAATCTCTAAAATCTTACCAATGACCGAGGTCAGGCTAACTGGTCTATAGTTTCCTGTCTTCTGCCTCCCTCCCTTCTTAAACAGGGGTGTTACATTCCTCACTTTCCAGTCCTCTGGCACGCTCCCTGACTCTGGTGATTCCTGAAAGATCACCACCAATGCCTCTAAAATCTCCTCAGCTATCTCCTTCAGAACTCTGGGGTATAGTCCAACTGCTCCAAATGATTTATCCACCTTTAGACCTTTCAGCTTCCCTAACACCTTCTCCTTAGTGATGGCCCCTACACTCACTGCTGCCCCTGACTCTTGAAGTTCTGGCTTGTTTGGTAGTGTTGTCTACTGTGAAAACTGATGCAAATTACCTATTCAGTTCAATGCTGTTTCTTTGTTCCCCACTACCCCTTCTCCAGCTTCATTTTCCAGCCGTCCAATGTCCACTCAATTCTCTCTCATCTTTTGGATATCTAAAAGTAAACATTTGCAATCTTTTTTGTATTACTAGCTAGCTTGCTGTCATATTTAATCTTCTTCCCCCTTATTGCTTGATTAGTTATCCTCTGCTGGCTTTTTAAGGCTTCCCAATTGTCTAGTTTTCCCACTAATCTTCGCCACATTGTCTGCCTTTCCTTGTGCTTTTATGCTGCCCCTGATTTCCCTTGTCAACCATGGTTGCCTTGTCTTCCCATGAGTCTGTTGCATCGTTCTTGGGGCAAATTTCTGTGATGCCTCCTGAATTACCCCAGAAACTCCTAACATTGTTGATCCACCATCTTCCCTCCTAGATTGGCCTTCCAATCAATTCTGGCCAGCTCCTTCCTCATGACATGTTAATTATCTGTATTTTAGTTAATTGTATTACTGTTAGATTTAATTCCAGCTTCTTCTTGTCAAATTGCAAGGTGAATTCTATCATATTATGTTCACTGTCCCTCAGGTTCCTTCACCTTAAGCTCCCTAAACAAGTCTGCTTTGTTACACATCACCAAATCCGGAACTGCTTGTTCCCTATGGGGTCTACCACAAACTGTTCCAAAAAAAATCTCATAGGTATTCCACAAATTCTTTTTCTTTGTCCACCTGCATACTGAAGTCCTCCATGATTATTGGAAAAGTGCTTTTCTTACATGCTTTTTCCTTCTCCTGATTCCCCACATCCTAGCTACTGCTGGGTAGCTTGTACACAACTCCAATCAGGGTCTTTTTCCCTTTGCCGGTCTGCAACTCTACCCACACAGATTCCAAGCTTTCTGACTCTATGTCACTTCTAGTGATTGATTAAATTTCATTTTTACCAAAAAGGCAATTCCACCCCGTCTGCCCATCTGCCTGTCTTTTTGATTGGATACAGATCCTTGAAAATTTAGTTTCCATCCCCGTTCTCCTTGCAGCCACGTCACTGTGATACCCACAACATTGTCCGTGCCAATTTCAGTCTGTGCTAAAACTCTTTTATCTTGCTTTGTATATTGTATGCACTTAAGCACAACACCCTCAAGCCCTGTGTTGACTGCCCCCTTTCTCATTGTTGAATCCACCCCCATTACTTAGTTTAAAGCCCTATCCACGGTGTTAATTATGTGATTTGCCAGGACTCTGGTCCCATCTTGATTCTGGTGGAGCCTATCCAATCAGAACAGCTCCCTCCTTCCCCAATACTGGTGCCAATGAACAATGAATTTGAACTTGTTTCTCCCACACCAGTTTGTGAGCCTTGCATCTGCCTCTTTAATCATCTGCCCTGTGCCAATTTGCTTGTGACTCAGGTTGTAATCCAGAGAATAATACCTTTTTGGCTCTGCTTTTTAATTTAGTGCTGACTGCCCATATTCCATCCTCTTTCTAGCTATATTACTGGTACCTACACTTACTACAACAACTGGATCTTTCTCACTCCAGTTCCTCCACAGCCCAAATGAGATAAGCTGAACCTGGGCACCAGGCAGGCAACACAGCCTTTAGGACTCTCAATCCTGGCCACAGGAAACAGTGCCTACTCCCCTGACTATACTGTCCCCTACATATCTCTTTATTCACTCCTCTTGAATGGCTCCCTGTGCCACGGTGCTATGGTCAGTTTGCTAATTCTCCCTCTTGCCCCTACTCTCATCCACACAGGGAGCAAGAATCTCAAACCTGTTAGACAAGCTCAAAGGCTGTGACTTCTTCAGCACAGTCTCCTGGATCCCTCTACTTGCCTCACTCATAGTCACACTCTCCTGTCTTTGACCACTGACCAAATTCAAGGTAGTTAATCTAAGGAGTTTGTCTGCCTCCTGAAACACAGCATCCAGCCAACTCTCCCCTTCCCTGATGTGTCGCAGTGTTTGAAACTCAGACTCAGAGTTGATGAGCTGGAGTTCCTCAAACAACCAACACTTCCTGCAGATGTGGTCACAATGAACCACAATGGGGTGCACCAGCTCCCATATCATGCAGGTACAACACATTGCCTGGCCTAGCATCTCTAGCATCTAATTAGTTATTAATTTGATTCTTAAAAATTTTGTACAGGGGATTCTGCTACAACACGATTGATGCATTTCTGTGAAATGACACATTATAGAAAATCATGCTATAAAAGTAATGGGGTCTATGGGAAAAGCGGTTGGGCCAGACCCAAAAAAATCACTCAAAAGTGTAACACAAAATATAGCACAGTTTGAATAAACGTTTAATTCACATCATAATGAAACACAATAAATTTATCACCTCATCTTGAGAAAATGTCAAGATGATGTGATGGGGGAGGAGGTTCTGATTTAAGTTGTAGCCTTCTTTGTCAATTAAATTTTTTACTATGCTCCTCATCTGCACTGGCAGC